TGGGAAACGGAATATCTGTGCACCTAAGAATGGGGTGTATCAGTATTCCCAGTAAGTGAGAAATGGAATATATGTACACCTAAGAATGGGGTGTATGAGTATTCCCAGTAAGTGATAAACGGAATATATGTGCACTTAAAAGAGGGGTGTATCAGTATTCCCAGTAAATGAGAAACGGAATATACGTACACCTAAGAATGGGGTGTATCGGTATTCCCAGGAAGTGAGAAACGGAATACACATACACCTAAGATTGGGGTGTATCAGTATTCCCAGCAAGTGAGAAACGGAATATATGTACACCTGAAAATGGGGTGTATCAGTATTCCCAGTAAGTGAGAAACGGAATATATGTACACCCCGGGGTGGGGTGTGTCTTATGCACCCGCTGAGGTGCACATGTGCACCTCAAAATGAGGTGCATGTATGCACCCCTTTTTGGGTAGTCGCATATATACCCATGGGGGTGTCGTATATGGGACAAGTCACATACACCCCACTGGGTGTAAGTACTACACCCTTTTTTTTAGAGTGAAGTTTTCGGGCGCTCTGGGTGGATGGTCGATCTAAGTTTAACAAAGGTAATAATAAACGCAGATGCAGATTCTTAATTTTGTGTGCCGCTCAAAAAACGTGTGCGCTAAGAGCACAGAAAAAGAGACTCTTCTGAAGCGAGTAGTTCTTTTTATATTTAATTTTTGCCTGATCTTGGACGATCGAATCGCGGCTCGAGCGCGCGCCGGACTCTACAGCTTGACCTGTTTCACTCTCTAACGCAACGAAAAATATTTTTACGCATAGCGAAGTATATATTTTCCGAAAGCTAATGAACTTCTCTAATAGGTGTAAAAATTATTTGAATTTAAACGTAGTTATTCTTCTTCATATTTCGATCTAACCACTTACTTGGAAGGCAAAACAAGTTTTCGGGCGCTCTGGGTGGATGGTCGATTTAAGTTTAACAAAGGTAATAATAAACGCAGATGCAGATTCTTAATTTTGTGTGCCGCTAAAAAAACGTGTGCGCTAAGAGCACAGAAAAAGAGACTCTTCTGAAGCGAGTAGTTCTTTTTATATTTAATTTTTGCCTGATCTTGGACGATCGAATCGCGGCTCGAGCGCGCGCCGGACTCTACAGCTTGACATGTTTCACTCTCTAACGCAACGAAAAATATTTTTACGCATAGCGAAGTATATATTTTCCGAAAGCTAATGAACTTCTCTAATAGGTGTAAAAATTATTTGAATTTAAACGGAGTTATTCTTCTTCATATTTCGATCTGACCACTTACTTGGAAGGCAAAACAAGTTTTCGGGCGCTCTGGGTGGATGGTCGATCTAAGTTTAACAAAGGTAATAATAAACGCAGATGCAGATTCTTAATTTTGTGTGCCGCTCAAAAAACGTGTGCGCTAAGAGCACAGAAAAAGAGACTCTTCTGAAGCGAGTAGTTCTTTTTATATTTAATTTTTGCCTGATCTTGGACGATCGAATCGCGGCTCGAGCGCGCGCCGGACTCTACAGCTTGACCTGTTTCACTCTCTAACGCAACGAAAAATATTTTTACGCATAGCGAAGTATATATTTTCCGAAAGCTAATGAACTTCTCTAATAGGTGTAAAAATTATTTGAATTTAAACGTAGTTATTCTTCTTCATATTTCGATCTAACCACTTACTTGGAAGGCAAAACAAGTTTTCGGGCGCTCTGGGTGGATGGTCGATTTAAGTTTAACAAAGGTAATAATAAACGCAGATGCAGATTCTTAATTTTGTGTGCCGCTAAAAAAACGTGTGCGCTAAGAGCACAGAAAAAGAGACTCTTCTGAAGCGAGTAGTTCTTTTTATATTTAATTTTTGCCTGATCTTGGACGATCGAATCGCGGCTCGAGCGCGCGCCGGACTCTACAGCTTGACCTGTTTCACTCTCTAACGCAACGAAAAATATTTTTACGCATAGCGAAGTATATATTTTCCGAAAGCTAATGAACTTCTCTAATAGGTGTAAAAATTATTTGAATTTAAACGGAGTTATTTTTCTTCATATTTCGATCTAACCTCTTACTTGGAAGCCAAAACTAGTTTTCAAGCGGTCAGGGCGGCTGGTCGATTTAAGTTTAAAAGTGGTAATAATAAACTTAGATACAGATTCTTAATTTCGTGTGCCGCAAAAAAAAGGTGTGCGCTAAGAGGACAGAAAAAAAGACTGTTCTAAAGCGAGTAGTTTTTTTTATTTTCGCCTGATCTTAGGCGATCGAATCGCGGCTCGAGCGTGAAGCGGGCCTCCACGACTTCACGAGTACCACACACAAATATAAAATGCTGCTAACAGGGGAACAAACAATAATATAACACCAAGTATGCCTCGTGCACATTGAAAAAGAGCAGGAATCAGCTTACCGAGGCTGGAACAGAGAGGTGGCGAGAGACACGGGAGCTGCATGCCACACAAGTGCATATCCCCCGATATGCAAACGAATTATGGCCCTGATGAGGGCCGTTTTGTTTTTCGCTCTGGATATCCAGGAGAAGACCTATTTCTTGGAGGAAGCCTTCTTTGCAGCCGGCTTCTTGGCAGGGGTCTTTTTTGCTGCCTTGGGTTTCTTGGGGCTCTTGGGTGCTGCAGCCTTCTTCTCTGCCTTTGGCTTTTTCGGCTTGGCCGACTTGGGCTTGGCCGACTTGGCCCTCTTTGCGGGCGACTTCTTGGCAGTCCCGGGCTTCTTCTTCCTGGCCGCACCGGCAGTTGCCGAGGCTGGGCGCTTCTTTGCAGCACCAGCCTCCTTTTTGGGCTTCCTAGCAGCAGGTGAGGGCTTGTCGGACTTGGCTGACAGCTTGAACGATCCGGTAGCTCCCTTGCCCTTGGTCTGCACCAATGCTCCCGCAGCCACGGCAGACTTGAGATACTTGCGGATGAAAGGAGACAGCTTCTCGACGTCCACCTTGTAGTTGGCAGACATGTATTTCTTGATGGCTTGTAGAGATGAACCACCACGTTCCTTAAGCGCACTGATGGATGCTGTCACCATTGCGGACACCTTGGGATGCGTTGGCACGGCCTTTGCCTTTCCCTTGGACACTTTCGTGGAAGCCTTTTTGGGGCTCTTAAGGGCAGCGGGGGCCGCGACCCCAGCAGGAGCGGACACTTCTTCGGACATGACCCACTCTAATCGTAAGCAGAGAGAGACTGAAAAAAAACCGTCTAGAACAAGCGCTCATTGGCCGAGAGAGGCGAGCGCGAACCTCCGGGAGAAGCCCTTCGAAGGTGACGAATGTTTGTAACCATGCCGTTTCTAAAATAACAAAGTTTGGAGTCTAATTTTTGCTCGATTCTGTGCTCTAATATAGGTTCCACATTATCCTCACAAGTCTGAGTTACTTCGATCGAGAAAAATTATTTTACGGAGCCAAGCGCATAGGCCCTCGCAAGAAAGTCGCCCAAAACAGCATCCAAGAATGAACAAGCGCGCTGATTGGACGAGAGGCGAGCGCGGCCCACTGGAGAAGGTAACGAATGTTTATAACCGTGCCGTTTCTAAAATAACAAGGTTGGGAGTCTAATTTTTGCTCGATTCTGTGCTCTAACGTTGGTTCCACATTATCCCCACAAGTTTAGATCACTTCAATCGTGAAATATTGTCCTAGCGAGCCACGTGCGCTGTCCCTCGCAAGAAACTTGCCCAAAACAGCATCCAGAATGAACAAGCTCTCTGATTGGCCGAGAGGCCTTGTCGGGAAGGAAGTTTCGCCACTCGCGCTGAGGCAGTTGGTCGTCAGGAGTCGAGGTGTGTTGCTGTTTGCTAGCTCTCTCGTTTTATTGTCCCAACGTTTCGGAATGGCCCGTACGAAGCAGACCGCCCGCAAGAGCACGGGAGGAAAAGCACCGCGCAAGCAGCTGGCTACGAAGGCCGCCCGGAAGAGTGCTCCTGCAACCGGTGGAGTCAAGAAGCCGCATCGCTACAGGCCGGGCACGGTCGCGCTGCGTGAGATTCGTCGTTACCAGAAGTCGACTGAGCTGCTCATCCGCAAGCTGCCCTTCCAGAGGCTAGTGCGGGAGATCGCGCAAGATTTCAAGACGGACCTCCGCTTCCAGAGCTCGGCTGTAATGGCCCTGCAGGAGGCCAGCGAGGCCTACTTGGTCGGTCTCTTCGAAGACACCAACCTCTGTGCCATCCACGCCAAGCGGGTAACCATCATGCCTAAGGACATCCAGCTGGCTCGTCGCATCCGCGGTGAACGCGCTTAATGTCGCTTCTTTGGAAGCGGCAGGCAACGCCACAAAAACGGCCCTCTTCAGGGCCACATCAGACATGCTTTTCGGACATGTGTAAAGCGACGTCCTCCCGTGTCTCAATCTCCGATGCTGACTTGTTCCAAGTGCAGGAGTTCAAAAGCTGTGAGTACTTTCTATTTATTCTCCCATTTTGAACTAGTTTGCATTGTGCCAAGTGCTCCGTTCGCAGTTGCTTCCAACGATTCCTTCATGTGTTCCTTGTTTTCTAAAGTGTTGTTGAATGAAATAAATAAAGAAGAAAAAAACCTTTCCCGAGACATTACAGGGTTCATTTTCTAGCAATCAGCGAATATCACGATTATAGATTCGACCAACAAAAACCCGTGGAGTAATTATCTGCTTTTGAGGGATGTCCACAACATTTATTGCCCTCTGCCGGTTTCGGGGAAATGCTGCTCCGATTGTTGACTCTCGTAGAAAGAGCTTCAAATCCTCTCAAAGCGAGGCAGTGCAGCGGTGGTTTTACGAGTTCAAATAACAAGCAATGCTGGCCTTTGCGTCCGACAGCAAGTCTTGTTTGGGCAATTCGCACACGTGAAAGAATTTGGCATTAAACGCAGCGTAAATATTATGCATGGGAGAATGCCTAAGAGTGGCATTCAAGGCCTGTAGGTGATGAAAGAGAAACACTGTCGGCATTGCACAAAAAGGAAATTTAAATGCACATACCCGAGTGTTTAGAGACACGGAAGACTAGCGCACGGAAATGAGTATCCTGTACTCAAGTCATGAGTGGTCCTGAAAAGGACCGTTTTTCTGTAGCGGATGCCGCGGGATGGTTTAGGCCTTCTTCTCGGTCTTCTTGGGAAGGAGGACGGCCTGGATGTTGGGCAGGACACCTCCTTGCGCGATGGTAACGCCGGACAGCAGCTTGTTGAGCTCTTCGTCGTTGCGAATGGCCAGCTGCAGGTGTCGAGGGATGATCCTAGTTTTCTTGCTGTCCCTGGCCGCGTTTCCTGCCAGCTCGAGCACTTCGGCAGCCAGGTACTCGAGTACGGCCGCCAAGTAGACGGGGGCACCGGCACCTACTCGCTCCGCGTAGTTGCCCTTTCGCAGTAGTCGGTGGATCCTTCCCACGGGAAACTGGAGCCCCGCGCGGCTGGAACGGGTCTTGCTCTTGCCCTTTGCCTTGCCTCCTTTTCCGCGCCCAGACATCTTGGTGGAGGTGAGAAGTGGACAACCGAACAAACCAACGAACACTGAGTGAGTGAGGGAGTCAGCGCATCGAGAAGCAGAAAATCAAAGGAAGTGCCAGTCCTCTCCGCTTGGGGGGCGCTGCAAGAGCGCGTTTTCGCCTTGCACTGCCTCTGCTTCATAGCACTCCTCTCCCAAAACCCTCTCCCAAAAAATTGTAGTTTCAAACTGCTTGCTCATTGGTTCGCGCAGCAACCAATCGCGAAGCGTTATTTTGGGCGTACTCCAATCACAGCGCACTGTTTCCCGCGCTCTAGAATGCTGGCCAATCGGAGCACATTTTTCAGAATGCTGTGAAAACCTATAAAAAGAGCAAAGAAAACTGAAAATTTCAGGGTTTTTTTTTGTTTAGGAAAAGTTTTTGAGGTACCAAAGTGAGCACACACGTTTTTTGGTAGCTTAAAGTTAATAGAAGTTAGTTAAAGTTAGAAGTAAAGTTAAGGTTAAACTGCTGCCTTAAAGAGGCGGCAGAGAGACACCAAATAGCACAATAATTTAATTTAATTAATCGTTAAGAACGTAGAACACCTCATCCCCCTGGAGGGGTACAGGTAAAAGGGAACCCCGAGCCCCAGGGCAGAGGGACCCAAACCTTTTTTCTTTTCATTTAATCCAACCTTTCCCCCCCGCCCCTCCTTCGGGAGGGGCAAGACAAAGCCCAAATGGAGGGCACAAAGGAGCCCCCATACGTTACAAGAAGCGTGGCCATGCGCAACTCCGATAAAGAGGCCTGCCTTGAGGCCATTATCCTCGATTCAATCGCCAGCCAGACGCTGGCGAGGGACACCAAAGAGCTCCTCGCGGAGCCATCTTCCAACGCAAACCCGGACCTCACGGGACATGACAATGGCGGACATGCGTCCCCAAACTCCCAAGATGGCGAGCCGGCCTCTGCCGGCCTCCCCAAGACACCAGGAGGTGAGCCCCTCTCACCCGTTTCGCAGGGCGCCAGCACATCAGGCGGCCCTCCGCGAACGCACGTAAACAACCCCCTCCCCCCTGCCTCGCCTGACGGCCAGCGGACGGAAGGCGTGACACCCTCTCCCACCCCCCCGACGGAGGAAGGGAACCAAATTCAACAAGAGACCCACCCCCCCACCGATAATGACAACGAGAGCGAGGAGGAGAACGATGACGTGCACCACTCCCTGCCCGTGCACAACAGCTTCGCCCTCCTCTCCCCTTCCAATGACAAGGCCGTCGGACAACCGACCAAGGCCGCTCTCGAGCGTGGTAAGGCCACACCACAAGAAAAGGCCTCCCCGACTACACAAGATGGCGTCACTGACCGAGGCACGGAGCTGGCAGAAGAAGGCCCCTGCACTGTCCTGTTTCGTCCTGCTGGACAGGCGAAATTCACCATACAAAACAGGCTGCGCATTGCCAGCTACGTGCAGAAGATCGTGCCCGGGAAGACGACGGCCATTCGCTTTAACCTTGCGAGAAACGTCCTGGCCGTGGACACAGAGGAAGCGGCAACCCGACGGACCCTCCTCGGGACCCAAAAACTGGGAGAGATGGAGGTTCACGCCTTCACGCCCGTTCCCACAGCTCAGGAATGCGGGACTATCCGCGGCCTCAACCCCAGGGATAGCGACGCATTTCTGAGGGACGGGCTGATAGCCGACACCCCCATCGTGCACCTGAGGAGGTTCGGCGAAGGGAGGTGCGCCGAACTCCGCTTTGACGGACCTCGCCCGAGGTTCGTCGAGCTGTTCCAGGTGCGCTTCTACGTCGAGCCCCTGAAGGTGCGCCCCACGCAATGCACGGCGTGTGGGAGACTTGGGCACGTACGATCTGCGTGTACCATGCCCACCGCCTGCCCAACTTGCCCACAAAAGCACCCCCGAGGAGAGTGTCCGCGCGCCGCCAACCCCAAGTGTCCCAACTGCGGATACCTGCACCGAGCCACCGACAAAAGATGCCCCGCCTACCAGCGCGCCAGGCTCGAAGAAACCATCTTCCGCGGCACGGGCTGCACGAGGCCGGAAGCCCGAAAACACGCCGTGGCCTTCGCAGAGGACCAAAAACGTCGGCCCCAAGCACAAGACCGACGGGAGGAAGTCCGGACGCCACGCCCACTCTCTTGTGCCGCGTGGATGCACCCGTCCCTCACGACGTTCCTCCTCACCCGCCACCCGAGCGAAGAGTCACGGCGGGAATTCCCGTTCCTCACGGATTCAAACCCCCTCGCAGCCCCACCCGCCCCCTTTCAGCGAGGCCCCGCGAGAGCAGCGACACAAGGCCCTACCCCACAGCCAACAGGGAGCGCAGCCCACACAGCCCCTGACCAGAGCCCACAGCCAACAGGGAACGCACCGCGGAGCACCACGCCCCCTGCAGCCCCTGTACAGCCCCAACAGCCGACCAGGAGTGAGGACCAGGATCGGCAGACAGAACAGAATCAACAAACTCAACCGGAGGAGAGGATCTCCCAACGCAAGGAGCAGTCAACCCGACAAAGCCCTCAAGTCTACAAGGAGACCTTCGGACCGGCGAGAACTTCGAAGCGACAGCGGAAGCGCCAAAGACAGGCTGAGCGCCATCAAAACAAGAGCGCCCCGGCGGCCCAGACAGACGGAGAGGTCGATGTAAACAAACCGAGGCAGCCTCCTCCCCCCCCCTCTCCTGCGGAACAAGAGGCGCAGCAGCGCCCGCACCCTCCTCTCCACCCGGAAGACGAGGCGAGCGCTGCACGCCGCCTGCAGCAGCAACTCCCTCCGTCCCTCCCGCAAGCGGAATGGACTGGCCCCTCTCTCCCTCACGAGTCTGTCTGGACCGGCGGTGGCCTCCTCCCCTCCTCTAACGGCGCGCCTCCGCCACCTTTCCCTCTCCCCCCAGCAGCTGCAGGGGAATCCCCTTGGTGCGACGGGCAACGCCCCCCCATTCATCCCCTCGAACAGCTGCTGGTTGTCACTCTGCACCAGATCGATCACCTGCTTCGGGTGATCGGCCCTGCTCTGGTCCAGTACTCGCATCTCCAGTCTACCCTCCCGGCTGACTCCCCCGTGCTCACGCTCAACAGGCATCACACCTTCCCTCCGATGAGCCACTATGCCAGCACAGCCTAAAACAAGAAAGAGGACGAGCGTCCAGTCTCCCAGCTGTCCCTCGATTCTGCAGTGGAACATCAACGGTCTCCGCGGACGGCTCGCTCATGTAAGGGACGAACTCTCACGCAGGCCCTACGACGTGCTCCTGATCCAGGAGCCCAAGCTCGAGGCGTCCAAACTGGACATCTCGGGCTACACGTCGTACACCTGCTGTGGAGCCAAGAAACATCCCTGGGCCGTCCTCTACGTGAAAAACTCGGTGCCCCACTGCGGAATCGACACAAGGGACTACTGCTCAGCGAGGGCGGAGATCGTCGGTGTCCGCATCAGAAGGGGTGAGCACGAATTCTCTGTATTCTCGTGTTACGTCCACCCCGTCGGACATTGGCGTTCCCGCGTACTCGCGACTATAAGAGCGCGGGAGGCTGGACACATCATTCTCGGGGGCGACTTCAACGCGCATAATGAGCTGTGGGGGGACAAACGGACGAGTGCGAGGGGTAGGCAGCTTCAGTGCACCCTAGACCGCACCGACATGGCTCATTGTGGGACGGGAGCCCCGACGTTTCTAAGGGCGGGAGTAGAGAGTAGCGTCCTAGATTTAACGATCTGCACGGCGAGCCTCCCACTCACAGGAGTACCTCAGACACAACCAGACGGCTGGGGGAGCGATCACACCCCGATTCTCGTGGGCCCCGCCCCCAAACCGGCCGTCAAGTTCTGTAAAGTGGTACACTGGGACCGCTATCGAGCGATCCTGTGGCGCCTCGAAGCTCTCGGTAAACCCCTCACAGCAGAAACGATCGCCCAAGCCCTAAAAGAGGCCACGCAAACGGTGCGCGTTCCGGTGAATCGGCCAAACCCCGACCTTCGCTGGTTGCAGCTACGAGCCAAGCGCCGGCAGGCTCAGAGGAGAGCAAATCGGACCGGCCTGCACGTGGACACACTCGGGTTCCGGCGCTTCGACGCGCTCTTTAAACGGCACGCTCTGCGCCTCAGCAGAGAGCAATGGGACCTCAAGTGTGACTCCTTTGCCGCACCCCGAGGAGCAGCCGAGGCGTGGAGAATGGCGCGGGTCCTGGCCAATCGGCCAGGGCCGAGACATCCCCTCAAAGGATTAGCTATACGCCTCGGCATCTCCTATGCCGACATGCTGGAAAAGCTGGCAGACACGCTGCTCAGTGCCCCCCCTCCTCCGCCAGCGCGAAGAGCCCCCTATGGCTGGAGAGGCTGGTTGCCTGTGAGAGCTACTAAGATGACCGCTGGCCAGGAGGATTTTACTTTGCACGAGTTAGACCGCGCCCTGGCAGGCCTCTCGCGCAAGAAGACGGCCCCCGGAGCGGACGGCGTCACTAACGCAGCGCTCAGAAATCTTGACAAAAGCAGCCGCCCTGCTCTCCTAGAGCTTCTCAATAAGGCGTGGCGGGACGCGGATCTACCGGAGTCCTGGCGATCGGCCGTGGTCGTGCCCATTAGGAAGCCAAACAAGCCAGCTACCGAACTTAGCTCCTACAGGCCCATCGCACTCACTTCGTGCGTTGGGAAGCTTCTCGAGCGACTCGTGCAACGACGGCTCGAGCACCATCTCGAGTCAGTCGGAGCCTTTCACGAGAACACCTGTGGCTTCCGAAAGAACCGATGCACGGCCGATGCCATCGCAGAAATTGCCACGCTGCTCGAAAAGGGTAGAGCGCTGAGCAGGACGACGGGAGTCGTCCTGCTAGACATCTCTAAAGCTTTTGACGCCGTCAAACACTCCGCGATCATAAAAGCACTCAAGCAGCTCGGAGTCTGGGGCCGCCCACTCAACTACGTGAGAGCCTACCTGTCAGGCAGGACTGCTCAAGTTCGTTCCTCGGGCCAGCTGAGCACCGCGCGTCCGATCAATCAGGGTGTCCCCCAGGGCGGTGTGTTGTCCCCCCTCCTGTTCAACGTTGCCCTAGCCGCTCTCCCCCAAATTATCGGATTAGGAAGCGAAGGAATCATACGACCAGGGATCGCTATATACGCGGACGACATCGCGTTATTCGTCACAGGCCGAGGATGGAACAGGGAGGC